TGCCTTTTTTTGAAAATTTCTATTCAACTTGTTCAATCCAAATCTGCACATAAGATTTTTTAATTTTGTTATCACTATTTGGGTTTGATGAGAAATATGCTCGGCTCCGGCGGCTTTGCCGCCTCGCCTCGCTCTGATTTGTAACGGTCCATAGCTCGGGTTCGCCTCGCACTTATCACTGTTCTACAAAATTTCTCAGTTTTGGTAATTTTCAAAAAATTTCCTCCGCAAGGTATAGCAATTATAATAATAATTGCGATTTCCCCATTATCGTATATCGAATCCCGATCGCCTTCCGATCGGTCGCCTCCAATAGAGAATTAAATATGCTATAATTTTCCCATTGTAAGTACATACCTACAAAGTACCGTTCAAAAATTGAAGGGGTGAGTGGATGAAGGCGGTATGTGACATTTTTTCAAAAAATGAGTTATTGTAATGAATGAAGGGGGTATGTGTTAAACTATTTTTTCGCACTGACACCTGTCCTGTTCAGCCAATTTTAACGAAGATAGCAGTGTCATGAAGGAGGTATGTGAACGCAACGATGTATACTTCTGGTGGATGAACGAGGTATGTTAAATAAAGATACACATACCTCTTTCATCCATTAGCACAAACAATCAGCTGTGTAACATACCTCTTTCATGCTCCATATATGAGCCTCTGCAAATCAGTCGTCTATTTAAGGTTAAAATTGTGTAGTTTGTGCCAAAGTTTTTTTGCATTTGAGGTAGTAATAGTTACAATGACCTCCAGAAAAGGTTAATGATAAACTTAGCTCTAAACCAGAGATATACTTTGTTTCAAGGGTGCTGAACCTTTCGTCACACTATCTGACGTCATAGCAAAATTAAGGCAGGTCGTAAATTAGTAGTTGGTTTACATATTGTCACATTGACGTTTCAACTTATTTATTAAGGTGTCACTATCGTTCATCATTATTAGACCGCCCAAGTTGACAATCACTTGTAAGGCATCTGGTTCTGATAGGTTTTTTCCTGTTCTTAGGTTTTATAATGGCTAAATGGTCATGTATTTTATGTAGAGGAAGTCCGTTGGTATGAATTAAACCTTTTCAACCGTTTGTAATCATCCTCATGTAACCGATTCTTTGCACATCCAAATGGATACTGCCAGAGCATCCGAAACTCTTTGAGATGAAGTGTATGATGGTTACAGAAAACGCATAGGAACATTTGTAACTTAAAGTTTGTTTAGGCAGTTCGTAAATTAATATTTTGTTTACATAATGTTGATGTGAAATTAAGTATGCTACCAATGTGAAGAATACGCGTTAAGTTGCGCGAATTTTAATGACCCTTAACTAGCCATTTGCAGAAGTAGAATAGGCCATGGTTTATCGGTAAGCCTTTTGCATTTATACATCTTACAAATTTGAGATAAAGCGTAGTCATTATATCACTGGCTCATTGAAATAACAACGCATACATACAGTTTCTGTTCTTTTGCCACACAGTCGAGATATTCGCATAAGGATCTTGAATATCTTCTGATCCGATTTATTTAAAAAAAACGCAATTGTGAAAGAAAACAGGTAGTGAAGAAAAAACTCTCAAATGTTCATATTCAAATCGTATGTACAAAAGACAAAAAGCGACACTACACCACAAATCCATCTTCTGATCCTGCATGGAGTATTAGGTATATACCGGACCCCTTCACTACTTCTTTTTCTAACTGTTTTGAGAGTACCATCTTGCCAGCTTCTTCTAAAAGACCCTTTACTGTATATCCAGGTTTCGTCTAAAACCACAGGTCGTAATAGAAAGAGTGAAGTTTCGTTGTGTTTAAAGTCTCTCAAAAATTGTAGTCTGTTTAAAGTCTCTCAAAAATTGTAGTCTTCTTTGAACTGCATAGGGCTGTTCCATTAAAAATAATCTATTGGAGACGGTCCATCTCCGCCACGTGAATTTCAGTTTCTTCAAACTGCGGGACAAAGAGGTAGCAGATATTTCTACGCCATCAAGTCGTTGAAGATTACTGTGTAAGGAACGGAGTGTAACATTCTCACCTATAAAATCAATTCAATACCTAAGTGTTCTAGCGAACCTCTTCATTCTGTGTATCGGTTCGTCATATTTACCTAATGGTAACGGGAATGACCTAAATTCATGATATGAGCGAATCGAACCATTATGCGGTAAAATTTTTAAAATACTTGTCTATTAACGGCGTTGCTGCACTGTCGACTTGCCTAAGCGTTTTTAACTTTGATGATATTTACTTCACTTTTAATACAAACTACCTAACGAAAAGGCGTTTAACACTGGAAATCTGTCTATAACGAAAATCATTTGACGGATTGATATTATGACAGATCAATTGGTTTATTTGTCACGACTTACGTTAATGACGTAATTTTTTTGTCTCAATCGATTTAAATGTAATGAAGAGAGAATCACATTTATGACGTCAGGTTCAGCACGCATGTGAACAAAGTCTACTAGCAGTGAAACAGTTGAGATTAATTCTAGCAAAGTATGAAAAAAGTGAAAACAGTGATTCTAACTCCAAAAGAATAGTTTCAATTAAATGGTGATGAATAGCAAAGGCAACGTGTTCCAGGAGCAAGGTAATTTACTTTTCTTCTGCATTTGAATAAATAAGGTAAATTAAATGTTAGTCTACAAGAGCCACAAGTGGCAGGGTTTGTAAGAATTTTGGAGTAATCAGGCTGGATGTGAACTAAACCTCTGTGCAATGCCAGGCAGAAGTTTGACACCTTTTAAATGTTATTTTTTTTTTGTAGGATCAAGCCAATTTTGAAGGGTATATAGAACCTCAAGAAAGCGTCCAACCTTCTACATCAAAGGCAAAATCATCTATGATGGAGAGGAAATACGACATCGATGAAAGTGGCTGTAAGTGATTTATTTGGTGAGTCAAGTGACGAAGTATCAACCAATGAAGAAATGTCAGTGATTCAGATGACAAAAATGTAATAGAAGTGAGAAAAAAGAAATTTCAAAACACGCAAAACCAAAAAGACATAAAAGTAATGGAAGATGAGAATCCTTCTGAGCTGATGGGTTGAGTAAACAATGATCAAGATGTTGTCACAGAGACGACCATACACGCACTAAAGTCAGACAAATTCATGTAACTCTTGTTGACCAAAGTAAGGAAGAGTCAGACTTCGTCTCCAGTGAAAATAAAAAAAAAAAATGCTTCTCTCCGCAAAAATTAAAAATGACTAAAGAAGACAGAGAAATCCTAATAAATGGAAGAAAGGGCGCAGATCGGCAATTTTAAGAGAAAGAGGGCAGCCTATAAACCTTACAAAGGTGAGACCAACCTGCTAAAAAATGTTGAAGGCAATAATTTGGTGTCCTGAAAATTGCGCCTACAATGTTCTAGTGCATTTAACATAAGTAGAAGAGAAGCAATATTAACACTTTCTCTGCATTAGACATAAATGGGCTAAGAACTGTTTACTTTTTAAAGAGTATTATAATACTAAGGCCAACCCAGAAAAAAAAAAAAAAAAACGAAAAAAAAAACCAAAACGGATGAGAAACTGGAGGGGCAGTGAAAACACAGACCGCTTCTTACATAAATATAGCCTGTCGGCATACAATGCCTAAACAAAACTATTGTTGTGCAAAGGGCTTTGTATCATTATATCAAATAAGGTAACAAAAAAGTTGACTTCTCGCAATCAAAAATAAAGGCGGCTTAGCTGCCCCCCCAACCAAGACCAGAAAGAGGCAAGGCATAACAACAGACCCAATAAAACACTGAGATTTGCAGCTTACAATCATCCGTCATATATGCTAGTTTCCCCTGCTGAAGAGTTCCGCACTACTCAAAGGAATTGTTAACATTCACAAGAAGTACTTTCAAACACTTTGCTGTCAGTCCCATAAAATGCACAAAACTTTACCTAGAGAAAATGCCATGCTGAGAAATGAATGAGAAGATTCAGGGTAAAGAATGTACTTATATCGTCTTTTACATTCAAAAGCAATGAATTTAATTTGTCCTTTTTGGTACCCCAAAAGCGACACGTGGCAGTACAATGTGATAAGGGTTGCATCAATGAAGAAACATAGAAAACTACAGGCCGCTTTTGGAGGCTCAGAATACGAAACAGAGAGCAGGCCAGAAACTCTGACATATTGTGTACATAACACTGATTTGCAACAACAATGCCTTTGCCTCGGTTAAGTACCTCAAGAGGCATTCTATTTAGCGCCAAATGTGGTTTTAATAACCTGGGTAATCCATATTGTAAGCGAAAAATATTGGACGGCAAACAGTTTTCTGTCTTGGACAGAGATCAAGCTTCCAGGGGAAGCAGTGAGATTTTCAGTTGTCTCCTTAGAGTTTCAGAAGTTGAAGGCTTCACTGCAAAGAGAAGACAATTTAATAATTTGGACAGACTCGTGCGCCGGGCAGTAATTTTCTTTTGTCTATCATATCTTTTGTTCAAAGAGATCTTTTAAACTAATGACCATTCCAGAGTTGGTTTCTTTTTTAGTTCTGGGCGTTTGGGCGAATAGAGAAGAGTTTCGGAAACATACAACTATC